ACACAGTGAAAAGCAATTAAGCAAACAGCGATGGTGGTCCATTCTTAGTACAAACACAAAATCCTAGTACAAAAAATGTCAAACTTTAGTAAATTTACAAATCCAAATGAATGGCATATTCTCACCTCACACCAAACTACCAAAAAATTCAAGAAAAAAAAAATGTCCTCACTCTTATGGAACACTTGTGAGCAAGGCATTTTGAATCTCAAGAGTTTCCCAAATCAACATATTACAAGATTCAACCATCACTTCAAATATGATCTAACAAAAGATCATAACATAAATCCAAGCTTAGCTAACTTCGCAACATACTAAAATTTCGATCAGAAGACGAGCCAATAATTGCATTTCGATTCTCACGTACGCTTGGCTATAGCTCCAAGGCACATTCGTATTCCTCCCACAAAATTTGTCAACAAAGTTTCAATTTTTATTCCCCTCGTAAAAAGGAGAAATAACAAAACTCAAAGAGCATCGAGCCCTAGAGCCTTCATTTCAACCTTCAAAGACCTCAAATACTCAATAGCCTCGTCAATAACTGAAATTCCGTTTTTACCTCTTGCGCCAGGCACCACGCTCCTCAAAGCCCCGAGTGCTATCTGAACCTTCTCTCTTCTCGACCTTTTGCGGGGCCCACTACAAGACTCTGCTTCATCCTCCTCCAGCAGCACGGGCCCTGTTCTCCTGCGTTTGGCTGCGGTGGGCCCCAGAAAGCTCTCACCCGTTTTTTCCTCGGCCGGGGGATCGTGTGGGACCTCGTCTGTTAAGGCACTCGGTGAATGGCCCGTGCTCGTCACATCATCGTCCGAGTAATCGTCATCCGAAGAATAGAGGAGGGCATCGAGTTCCTCCGAGTTTTCTCGGGACGACTCGTCTTCTTTCGTTAGACCTCTCGGGATATTATTATCCACCGTGTTGTTTTCTTGGTAAGTCTTGAGATTGTTCGGAGGAACCCAAGAAGAAGGTCGAGTGTAGAAAAGAGTGGTTTTCTCGCCCGATCGGTCGAAAACGAGGAATCTCTTCTGCGGAGGTGTGGGGATTTTCTGTTGACCGAGGTTGTAGGCGAAAGGAGGCGAGCTGTTTGCGTTTGGGTTTGGGTTTTGAGACGGGTGAGGATTTACGTAGCCCGATAAGGGATTCC